AGCCCAACCACCACGTCAAGGTAGCAGAACGGTCGGGGTAATGTTAATAATTTGATGTCACAATCTGTTGAAATGGTAATAGTACAGTAAAAAAAACTATGTATTCAAAAAAAACATTCATCATTATAGTTAATCTATACTGCTTTTCCTAAATTCATACACACGAATACTTTTTAAGAACGGTCAGAGATCAAAAAATGAATTTGCTGGATAACTTTTGGGAGTCCCATGGTAGACAGTCACCAACAATACGTTTAGACATCATTTGTTCCTTCATCATCCTGGAACACGTGTGTATTATTGGTTCGGAATCATGGTTTTCAAACTCATCCTATCCTAGTGAATCCTCTCGATAAATTTGCTTTTCGTCCTCTCAATTTCGTGAACAACACTCCCACCACGAGAAAGCAGTGAGAAGGACTTCCCTGTAAGCGGGTATATATGCATGGCTGTATAAGAGCGTTTCGAAAGAGCGGACTCTTCCCACTCTTGGTCGTACCATGGCGTTTGGGGATAATATAAACATGGCCAGCAACTAATCAAATTCCGGTCCAAAAAGTCAGTTATCAGTTAGTAGTGAAAGTCGATTGCTTCGTTTCGGAAATCTCCAAGAATTTTATTTTCTATGCTGATCTCGTGAAAATTCATTTTTACAAAGAAGAATAGACATGAAACCTTAGTTGATTATCTTATTTTACACACAAATATAAGTACTGAAAAATAATAAAAATGTCACTTACTTTCTGACTGCAACCAATCAATAAGTGTACCAGCATGTGGATAGAAACCTTCGACTAAATAGGTAAGATTATCCAGATGAACAGATCTCGATGTAGATGGTAAGGATATTGGGGATTCTGAGGAAGAACTGCTGGTAGAACTTATTTCAAAAATTGGAATACAGTCAAAGTATGCCTGGCCAGACGCCCATCCAATAACAGGATAAAAACCTACCGAATAGGTAAAATGTAACAGATAGATATCGTGCAACTTCATATTATTCGATGAACAATACGACTGGACTTTGGCTATCAGCCAAATAAAAAGATTGTGTAGCTGACGATTAAATATCGTGTTAGTGAATTCCCACAACCGGGTCAGTCAGTATATCAACCAATATGTTCTTCTTACATTAAAACTCTGTGGGAGATTAGTTAATGAACTTGAGTCCAACTATCGTAAAGAACTTGAAATAAACTAAAGATTGATGCAGATAAGACCTGATACAAGTACTGAACAAATCCTAGACATTGTCTGGAAAGTTGGTTAAATTTAAAAATGGCTCCATACATGGGTTGGTACTGAGAATACTGTGTGTTCTGTGATATTAGTAATGTACCTATCTGCTTAATAAGGACTAATAATGGAGGTATTGCAGATTCCTAATGTCTAAAATAAGTTAAAAACTCATTATACTTCACAAACTTTATCAAAGATGTTTTTGAAATGTTAGATGGAACTATCAAACTAGCCCTGAAATTGTTAGGTTTTAAACATTATAGATAATAACTTTAGTTGCCGAAGTACTAAACTTTTAGCACTTAAGCTGTCGGTTTGGATACTGCTACATCTACTTTGAGTAGCGGAGTAGTATCGAAATATATTACATCAGAAGTGTGATTCAAAGCAGAATACATGAGGCAGAACTAGAAAACGGAGTTAGCTTACAGTTATTGAGATGGCTGGGCGAATCCCTGTACACTACATGTTTTGTAAGGTGGGAAGAGCTAATCAGTTCAGCTTGAATTAAAACGACATCAACCATTAAGTCATAATCTAGTTACGCTAAAAATGTAAATCATTTTTAGTGCCAGACTTTAAATGATTGCAACGATTGCCCAAAATGTGGACAGTGAAGGTCTACTACATTTTAAAAGTTAATGCTCTTTATCTATTCTTTGCATTACGGCTTCTGTGAGAAATCCTGATTGGAACACCAATAGGATCACCAATATCGGGACTCATTGCGGAAGCTGTGGTAACTTTGAGTGTCCCCAACTGTTTATAGTTTAAGTGCCCACAATATTAACAATCATAGTTAAGCATAAACAGTGTTAAGATGAAATAATGCATACCACTCATTACAGCTAGAGCTTTAGTGCCAGAAATTAAATTTAAAAAGCTTCCAGTGCCTAATGTAAGTTTAGCTTGACAAGGAGATGAGCAGTTTTCTGTTAAGGTGGCAGCTTGAGCATCACCAATGATACCAGTGATAGGAATAGACAAAGAAGGATTGGATGAATACCCCAGCGGGCCATTTTGAACAGTGCCATAATAATAACTGAAAAATAAAAGTAAGCGTATTTATATGACAAATACAGAACGAAATTTAGTTTTAAAAAACAATAGTCAGTTAAATTCAAGTGAATTATTATTGGCAGTTCCCAAACTACCTAAGAAGTCTTTTTACCAACTACAGTGAGTTATAAGGATGCCAGCAGATGAGAACGACATTGATTACAACACTTATTTGTCAGCCAACCACTATCGACAGATAGAACAAATTAGTTGCATAAAATGATACTAGAGACTACTAATTTTGTACACCTGGACAGATAAGACAATTAAACGATAATGAGCATACGAACTATTTAAAATAATTTTTTAAAGCTTGATATCTTCGTATAACATTATTTCTCTATGCCAGGTCAAACTCAATAGTTAAGAGACATAATTAACAAATGCAGCAGTGGTTTAGTGATTAAAGCAATACACTTTTAACTTCTGGATAGCAAGTTTGAACTTCGTACAAACTATTTCAATTTCAACATCCGGTATATGCTCAAACCAAAGTCTATGGAAATGTATCTTGCAACTGGATTACATTATTTAAAAAGAAGCATAAATTCGAAGGTATAACAAGGTCTCCAAAAACAAAAGGATATATAAGCTACAGACAAGATGTTTAAGTTTCCTGTCAAAGGACGAGAAAATTGAACAACACTTAACTGTATCACTTCAGAACTGTTAAACGGTCATTGAAAATCTGGACTTTTTAGATGTCCTGTTATGGTTGAGAATGTGAATGGCTGATTCGCCCTCTCGGTGTATTATCATACGATCCCCCACACTTGTAGCTTCATTCAAGGAATGTCCACTCACTCAGTCTACGTGTCAACAGTTTCTATGAAGTTAGGATAAAATGTGGATCCCCAGTCCTTAAACTGGGATTGGGGATAGGGAAGATTCACCTCCAGTTGGAAAACCCGTGTCCAAACCGATAAAGTGCATGAGCTGCCGGATGTAAGTAAGTAGTACCGTCGACTTCAGTCAATCTTGGCGAAAGCTAACCTGATCACCCACACTCTTGTCAATGAATTCAATCGATGTTCTGGTTCCGACTACATCTGGCATATGTACGGTCTCGAACTTAATCGTCATGGTCGTTTCTGGTTCCGTCCTACGTCTGAAGCGTTTTCTGGTCCAAACCCCTACAAACGCTATCTTCAGATTATGTATGCGAGTCACGCTGGTGTGATACGCCAACTTGAGTAGCAAGTATGGCACGTTACTACTGGTACAGTTCTCTACAAAAGACCATCGGTGACAACTCCAGCATCATGGATCGCTTCCTTTGCCGATCAGTCCCACGAACGAAGCCGTTACTTATCGAAAGTGTAAACCCTTTGTAGCGGGGGGCTGCTGTAGTTAATCCACTTTTATGAAGAGAACGCGATTGGTTTAAGAGAAATATTCATTATTATAACCAACTGTACCAGTGATTGCTTTACTGTACTTTTGTCTGTTACTCTCTGCACGCGCAAACTTTCCGTTTGTGTTGCTGCCATTTCTGCTCAACCGTCTCTGTAATTTCACCTCTCGTTTCCGGTACGATTTCGGTACTCCTTTGATACAATGAAATCGTCGACAAATATATGCCTTAAAATGTATTTACCTATTTTCTCTGTGACGGGCTCGTAATAAGTATTTGGTGGTGATCATATTCAACACCAACTCAATCGACAATAAAAGGTAATGTAAATACATGTGAAATTACGATGAATCGGGATTTGAAAATGTCAGTGTTCCTTACTTAAAACCAAATGATTAAAGATCGTGATGAGCATTTTTCCGAAAACAGCTGAACAACATACTCACCTCGAAGGATATACATCAGGAAGAATGTTGGGAGGTATTCCTAAACTAGCCAACAGTGGATGGCTCCATTTACACTAAAAAAGCATAATATACAAAAAAATGAACATGACATAACATTAAGTATTTGAAGTGAAATTATCTCTATGTTTGGATTGTAATACAATAAAGTGACAACCACAAAAAGAGAAAAGCTCGCGTTAGATGGTTGCACTACTTCTTGTATAACACAATGAGGAATATCGCTCATTGATCTGGATACACTAAGCCTAGCCATCTAAGAAAAGGTTAGACTTCATCCGAATTATCTTAGGATGTTTAAAGAAGTTTACGTACTTAAAGCAAGTGGCAAACTAGCGTATGACTTAATGTACGGAAACGAAGACACAACAATTACTAATGTCGTCTTTGGTCGCTAGAAATCTGCCGTTAGTATAATCTATTTACAAAGCAAAAACCAATCTGCTGTTCTGAGTCATACTTTGTGTGAGAACCGGTGACCCTACGTGGCTGCTTAAACTGAAGTAAGTGAAGTGGAGCTCGGATTAGAAGCCTTGGTGGCTCGACTTAGAGCATCTTAATTAGTGATTGATAATCGAACAGTATTAATACCCTCCGTCAAGAAACTTAAAAGTGTAGCTTAAATCTTTAGGCTTTATACTTTATAAGTCGTTGAAGTGCTGAAATTTCTTTTGTTTAGTAATCAATCAACCTCGATTATCATGATCTTATTTGATAACCGGCCGTTAATTACATAGCCATGTTGTGTCTCTAAACAACTGAAAAAGTTTCAGAATATTTTCTTATGAGATAATAAATTCTAGTTAACTGAAGGTCAGAAAATGTTTACGGTAGTAAAAAAAGACTCTCAACAACAACACATACCTGAAAATACATCATTACTTACTGAAAAGGAATCATACATCCCAGTAACACTTGCGCAGCTAACGTCCGTAGCAAATGTCTTACCACCTGTAAGCTTCCATACCAACCATGTTTCCAAACAACCATAGCAAAGTAATCCCTTACGACATTCATCTGCAAGCTACAGAGAAATGAGAATTAGCACACAGAAAACATACATTTCTTCTTATGACTAAAAATTGGATGTATTAGTTATATAAATATCTTTTATGGATATTACTGATATAATTTTGCGCTGTGCATAAATTTGAAAAAGAACTTGGACTACGATGGATACAAGACTGTAAACGCCGTATAGATTGTTTCCTAGTTTAATACTTGGAACTACAATATCAAATTTTGAAGCAATTAGAGTAATATGAAGTACTAACCCATTAATTCAATGAATATTTATTTGACTTGCATGAGAAATATTAAAAATACTGGATAACATTGGCTTAGTAGTTAAGGTTTTCGACTTTTCGACCCAACATTTACAAATGTAAGACTGACAAAGATTGAAAAATATTAATAAAAATACCACAATAATTAGGACGGACAGTCATAAAACACAGACAACATATATATAGGCGATAGGATATGAAGTAAATTTTATTTAGTAATATTCGTATGGAAGGTAAACAAAAGTAGTATAATTCATATATGACAGATATTTATACCTGTCAAATTCTTAAGAAAACAAACCAACAAAAAGATAAAGCACTTAACGAATCACTGACTTGACACCATTCAGCTGTAACCAGAGTATATTGTTTATGCTAGTTAAGAATACTATTCACTGTCATGTAAAAAATTAGGTGACATGTGCTATTCACAAATTGCAATCCAAGCCCCTAACTTCCGGATCGCAAGCCTATAGAACACAAGAGAGTCTAAATGCATTAGATATTTACAGTGTTAGTGACCAAAATGGCTTAAAATTAGGAATAACAGAAATTTAAAACGTACCAAGATCACATTTTGTTTGTTATGAGCTATGCAGAGCAGTTGAAAAATAAAGTGATCTCAGCCGATATCAGTCAGCAAGGTATGTTAGGAGTGATAACATTTTACTAATTGATTTGTTGCCAATGTCTGACATATCTCCATTTTTATTACACCGCTTCTGTAGTATTAGTGGTAGTCAGTTCAATAACGTGTAAACAGTACTAATTCAGATAGTGTGTTTCTATCTTCGAAGGTATTGTCTCATTAACAACTTCCTTTTACGGCCTCTTATGATAATCATGTTATTTTACTGTAGCTGATTGATAATGGTAAGGTGTTAGTTTACAGAATGGTGGCATACATCACAAATAGTCTCAAGTTGAAGTCTGTTAATGAAACTAAACTCTACACGTGAAGTCGCGAGATTGTTAAATAAAATGGTTTCAGAAGATTAGTAGAGACCGCATGCATTTCATGCATGGAAATATAAGTGAAAAATAACAAAATACAAGTGACATTATTCCATTGCGGCCGTTTTCCGAGTTCAAACAATCCCTACTGGCTTACTTTCTCCTCACAACCGCATAATATTATAATACTGTTAAGTGAAGATCATTTCTTGAAAAAAATATCTAATCGTAATAAGAAGACACAGCTTTCTTTTCTATTATTCTTGCATAGTATTTTCAAAAAATTTTTCAGCTTTAATATTATTTTACAAGCAGCGGACAATCGGGCAAACAACATTACAAAAGTTTAGTACAGCCTTTCTTCGGGATACTGGTACACTCAACGAATTCAAAATAGCTCTCAGAAACAAGTTCCAAGCCTCCCACCAACTATTCCATGGCGGGGAAACTACCATGGAGAACAACTAGAAACGGAGCAAACAAGCAATAACTTCAGCATATAATGAGGTTCTGGGCAATAACAACAACCACAATAACAAGGAATGGGTCTCTGTTCATAATCTGAGTAGGATTCAAGAAAGGAAGAACAGGAAGATACCAATCAATAATAGCCGAACAAGTGCAGAGAAAGCAAAGGCACAAACTGAATACACAGGAGCAAACAAGCAAGTGATGAGGAGCATTACAGTTGACAGGCGAAAATATGTAGAAGATCTAGTCAAGTCAGCAGAAAAAGCTGCAAAAGAAGGAAACATGAGACAAATATATGATACAACGAAGAAGCTAACTGGAAAATATGGTAAACCAGAACTACCAGTCAAGGACAAAGAAGGCAAACCAGTCACCGATATTCGAGAAAAGTGGAACAGGTGGGCATATTACTTAGAACTCTTGAATAGACCAGCCCCACTGAACGCACCCAACATGGAGGCAGCACCCACGGACCTCCCAATTAATGTTAACCTACCAACAATTAAAGAGATCAGCAGACCACCAGACAAATCAAGTGGCACAGAAGCAGGACCGGACAACATTTCAGCCGACACACCAAAAGCAGACATAACAATAACTAAGAAGATGGTTCACGCACTCTTCAACAAAATTTGCGAGGAAGAACAAGTACATACAGACTGAAAAGAAGGACACCACTAAGATACCAAAGAAAGGAGATCTCAACAAGTGTGACAACAGTACAAGAGACTAACTAGTCTCAGTCAATGATTGTCCCACTGTATAAGAAAGGACATAAGTCCCCTTACGACAATCACAGCGGAATCAATATAACTAACATAATGTCTAAAATATTGTCTTCATCAATACGTCGACACCGAACTAGAGCTCGCGAAGAGCATAATCCATGGAACCAGGCTGGTTTCTAACATGGAAGCGGGGGTATATACCAATCATTCACACTTCGGCGGCTCCTACAACACAAACATATTTTTCAACGTCCAATAACAGTTGTATTCCTATACCTTAAGTCATAGTTTAACTGTGTTGGTCGTGAGGTTTTGTGGCAGTGTTTGTCAATAAAAGGTTTACGAAAGAAGTACATTAACCTTATACAAGCTCTCTACTTGAACACTACTGGCTGAGTCAGAGCTCATGGAGAAATGTCATCAGAATTAATTATATTTGAGTAGTGCTTGTCTAACGCTGTCACTGACATACTTTTAGATACGACACTCATCATTTGGATTTTCAGGAGTCGAACTTTTACCACGAGATTCACTTGTCAACTTACAATATGCTCATGACATAGTTCTACTTGGTGAAGACGATGACAAAATGCAGTCTCGACTGGCTTTTAACAACATGAGTCACTTATGGTGTAGACAAGACAACCATCTGCTAAGTAAAGAACGAGTCTCCTGCGCATTAGTTCACTCCGTCCTAATAAATTGCTGTGAAACATGACCGATAAGAGTAGAGGATATTCTCAGGTTGCTAGTATTCGATCATAGGTGTCTTCGCAGCGTTGCTCATATAACCTGGGACAATCAAGTAAACGATGCTGCTGTTAGAAAACGGGTAGTAGTTAAGGGTGGCAGATCATATGAGGAAGTAGTGTATCTTTGCCAATTGAGGCTGTCGGGACATGTGTTACGCATGCCTAACCACCGACTGCCTCGACAAGTGATATTGTCTGATGTAGGGGTACGCGGAAGAAAGCTAGATGTAGCCAAACCAAAGCATGCTACAAATCCAACAAGTCATTTACAAGTGGCCTGAGCCATGTTGGGAGGTGTAGACTACTTGATTGGGGTCCACGGGACCATAGAAACTGATGGTTTAACTTCTTCGAACTCTCAACTTCTCCATTACTGCTAATACATCTACTATGGTATCTGAACTCACAAATGCATCTCTGTACTAATATGGTATGACGGACATCTTGAACTGATGTAAGCACGTACAAAGTTATACGTTATGGCTGACTGACTGATTCATAAATACTGTAAGACGTAGTATGGGAGCAGTCATCCTATTCTGTAGGTGCGCTATCATATGATCCCACATTTGCAGCTTCTTTCAAGGAATGTCCACTCACTCACTTTACGTGTCAACAGTCGTTACGAAGTCAGGATGAAATGTAGATTATCAGGTAGATTACTGAAACTTCATAAACCAAAAAAGTATGAAACAAAATAGTATTAATTATATCAGTACAATGTGTTAAGACGTGGATTTTATCATGTACATTATGAATGCAGTAACAAATTTCCCTAATACTAAGTATCAGAAATAGAATTTCAGTAATTTAAGGAGCGAACACAGAAACTATTTAACATACCTTTGGTTTTTCATTTAATAAATACTTGAGACGTATACATGCTAATGCTGTTTTGAAGTGGTACGACGCTAACGCTTTAAACCTTGATCGATGTGTCATCCAGTATAGCATATGGCCAGCAGTTTTCATACTCTACAAAACGATGCAGTTAGAAAGGAACAAAGAGTACACAAGACGTAGCAAAACATCTAAAAAATATATCATCCACATCATTTAATCCAGTTACTTCGTGGGATATTATAGTAATAACCAATACGGCACCACTGTAGTCAAAGTCTTGTTACATGACAGTAAATTTTTCATTTCAACATAATAATGTAGCAGAATCATAATCTAGTGAAATCATTGAGATATATAACTCTAATCATTGAACGGTTGGATCTATCTGTTTAACTGATTGAGTATTGCTAAGCGCCAACTGACCATCTCATGAAAATTCGCACTTCATTAGGGCAGCATTTACATAGTCGTTCCAACAGATGTTTACAACAATGCAAGAGCATGACAGGTCAAACATTAAAATTTCAGATATTCTTGATCGTACAATTTACTTTGTTCAGGCAATGAGCCAGAGCGCAATGCTGTAGACAGCCTTGTGATTCAGGAATTACTGACAAACTTATTGATACACTTATTTAATTTATTTTTAATAACTTCATCTGACTGAAATCATTCAGGCCAAGCACACCATCAACACAATTCAATAACACTAGTAAAAATTGGGTCCACTGACAACTGCACATTCAGTTCGCCTAAAACATTTTTGTAGGTAGTAGTCATATTTCTTAGAGTTCATACTCATGACTTGTATTTAGTTACAAATACTTAGTAAATAAATTCAAATCGTTCTAAGTCAAATATGATCAAATAACTTAAACAGTTTTTTCACTGAGGGTTATCAACAAAGTTTTTACCACTAAGCTGGTCTTTTTACTGTAGTTAGCGAGAGAGGTAAGAAGAGGACAGAAATGGTTGCATTTACTGTTACGAAGTACTAGTATAGTGCGTGAGCAAATTAATTACTCCACCCATTTTTCTTAATTCACTAACAGAGCTGAAGGGCGCGGTTTAACAGCTAAGAGCAAATACGTCAAAGGTCAAGAGGCAACACCACTTTAGTCTAGGTGATCTGACAGTATCCCTAGCTTTTATATCCCGACCGAAGCTGCTACCTTGACGTGGTGGTCGGGCTTGCCTATCGTGATGACCCGACCGAGCTATACTGGCTGGAACATATGTTCCTGCAGGTCCTACCATGCCAGGCTGGTCGATTGGAGAACGATGAGACTAAAAGCAGCTACCCAAGGTCTGAGGGCGAAGTCGTACTGCTGACTGCAGAGGGGTGTGACAGCAGTAAGGTGTTTCCCTCGGACAACCAGCATCTGCAGCGATGCTGCCTTCTCACAAGGAAGGAAGGGTTAGAAAAGGTCGGCCCTAAAAATGTCACACTCCCCCTAACTCACGGATTTCCGTCTCCTTGGGTAAGGGTGCCCACTAAGGGCCTTTAAGAACGGAGCTAATCCTCAAAAAACGTTTCATAAAAAGGCCGTGCGTGACCGGCCTCAAGCAGTTGTCCCTTGGACTCTGCGGCCACGCACCAACACTAATCCATCTTCCTTTTCAGGTCCCTCAAGAAACAACCTTCCACGGTGTGGGCAGCCGGGAAGTGACTACCGCCCTCATACCCGTACCAGCACGCGAGACCAAATTGGTCAAAATCAAATCCTTCCTACACCCCCTAATGTCTCTCTTATCTCTACGACTAACTCTACTCACACTCCCTTTTCTCACTGCACCGCTAATGCAGACGAAGCGAGATCACGAAACGTCGTTCCTGGTCTCTTGAAACCCCGTTCTAGACTACATGTTGGAGCTTTTAATGTACGGACATTGTGTCAAATAGGGCAACAGGCATCATTAGCTAGGACTTTAGAATCTCGTGCCATCGATGTATGCTGCGTCTCGGAAACGCGCATACAGGATCCTAGTAAAGTCATTAACCTGATTCCACCTTGTCAAAACGAAGAAGCAGTTCGATTTACTCTCCGGTAGCCCTGATGCTGCTTCCAGGGGTCTTGCTGGCGTAGGCATAGCGTTGAGTCCTAGGGCAGAATTATCTCTCCTAGACTGGATCCCAGTAGATAGTCGTTTGTGCGCTGTCCGACTAAACGGGACAGTAAGGACTCGGAAGGATAGGGACACTCGCCGTTGCCTCTTCGTCATATCTGCCTATGCCCCCACTGACTACAGTGCAGACGAGGTTAAGGATGAGTTTTACAGAAAGCTTTCGGACCTTCTCCAAAAAGCTAAGCGCTCTGACATAGTAATAATGGCTGGTGACTTTAATGCTCAAGTAGGTAGACTAGGTGAAAAGGAAAGACATCTTGGTGGATGTTATGGTGTAGCGACTGAGAGAACAGACAATGGCGACCGTCTGTTGCAACTATGCTCAGATAACCGCCTATTCTTAGCGAACACCAACTTTAGGCATAAGGAAAAGCATCTGTTGACCTGGCGACCGCCGAAGTCGTCTCAACGTTGGACTCAACTAGATCACATCGCCATCAGCCACCGATGGAGGGGTTCGATAGAAGACTGTCGCTCGTTCTGGAGCACATGTTTGGATTCAGATCATGCCCTTGTGCGAGCTCGTATCTGTTTAAGGCTTACTGGACGTAGGAAAGACACCGTAAGAAAGCCTCTCAGGGTTTTACTTAATGATAATCAAACCAAGAAAATATTTCAGGAGCAACTAGAAAGACAGTTAGGGGACCATTTAAGTGATTCCCATCCGGAAGCAGGATGGAACGATATCAAAAAGGCTGTGGAAACAGCAGTGATATCTGCTAGTAAGGTTGACCATAAGGCTAGAATGAAACCGTGGATCTCAGTAGCATCCACCGAACTGATAGATGCTCGAAAACGCATCCCACCTGACTCTGAGCATGATGAAGAGCGTAGTCAGCTTAGGCGCAGACTTATAAAAAGTCTGCGTAACGACCGCGAGCAGTGGTGGGTGGCGAAAGCAAAAGCGATGGAAAAGGCAGCGGCGATAGGCAACACTAGACAACTTTTCCGCCTTATTAAAGAAACTGGTATTAGGAATCATAGTGTAAGTGAGACTATCTCGGAAAAGGATGGTCTTATTATCCATTCTCAATCCAGGAGACTGGATCGATGGGCAGAACACTTTAGAGATCAGTTCAACTGGCCACGAGCCACTCTTCGGTTACCCACGATCTCCAGTCATCCTGAATGGCAAATCGACGTAAGTCCCCCTAGTCTTAATGACGTTGAGAAAGCGTTAGGAAATCTGAAACGAGGACGAGCTGCAGGTCCTGATAGACTGACCCCCGAGATATTTAAGGATGGTGGTCCAGTTTTAGCAGCTAGATTGACTGAGATCTTAGGTAGAATCTGGGAACTGGACGTAATCCCATCCGACTGGTCTCAATCCTTGATTGTCCCAATCTATAAGAAAGGACAGAAGTCTTCTTGTGACAATCACAGGGGAATAAGTCTAACTAATATAGTATCTAAAATATTGGCCTCAGTAATACTTCGACGCTTAACGAAAGCTCGTGAAGAGCAGACTCGAGAAAACCAGGCTGGTTTTCGACCTGGACGTGGCTGTATAGACCACGTCTTCACACTCAGACAGGTCCTGGAACATAGACACACATTTAGGCGTCCTACAATAGTTGTTTTCCTGGACCTTAAGGCGGCATTTGACTCAGTGGATCGTGAGGTTCTGTGGCAGTGTCTGTCATTGAAAGGTGTACCAAAGAAGTACATTAACCTTATACAAGCCCTTTACTCGAACACCACTGGTCGGGTGAGGGCTTATGGCGAACTGTCACCGGAATTCTCTACATCAAGTGGTGTCCGTCAGGGATGTCCACTTTCTCCATTCTTGTTTAATTTTATCATAGACATGCTCCTAGAGTTAACATTATCCTCGTCTGAATTTTCTGGAGTAGAACTTCTACCAGGTGGCTCGCTTATTGACTTAGAATATGCCGATGACATTGTCCTACTTGGTGAAGACGCTGACAAAATGCAGAGTCTTCTGACTACCCTAAGCAACAATGCAAGCATGTTCGGGATGCGGTTTTCCCCCTCGAAATGCAAAATGTTGCTTCAAGACTGGGTTGCATCGGCACCTGAACTAGTGATAGGGAGTGAAGTAGTCGAACGTGTAGACCGATTCACTTATCTTGGGAGTCTCATCAGTGCCGATGGCCTGGTGACAGACGAAATCTCAGCTCGGATACAGAAGGCTCGATTGGCTTTTGCCAAGCTGCGTCACTTATGGCGTAGGCGAGATATCCGTTTGCTGACTAAAGGACGAGTGTACTGCGCAGTAGTTCGCTCCGTCTTACTTTATGGCTGTGAAACATGGCCAGTGAGAGTACAAGATATTCGTAGGTTACTGGTTTTCGATCATAGGTGTCTTCGAAGCATTGCTCGTATATCGTGGGACACCCGAGTGAACAACGCTGTTATTAGGAAACGGGTGCTAGGTAAGAATGGCAGATCAATCGATGAAGTATTGAAACTTCACCAGTTGAGGTGGTTGGGACATGTTTTGCGTATGCCCAACCACCGGCTGCCTCGTCGAGCCTTGTTTTGTAGTGTGGGAATAGGTTGGAAGAAAGCTAGGGGCGGCCAAACCAAAACATGGCAGAAATCCATGAAGTCATTGACTAGTGGACTTAGCCATGTCGGTAATTGTCGACTACCTGGTTGGAGTCCGCGAGATGATAATAATCGATGGTTAGAGACCTTGAATGACATGGCTCAGAATCGTTCGCAATGGCGCCGGTGCATTTATTCTCTATGTTCTCTCAAATGCTAATCTTCTGGATTCTTCAACCCCTCTAGTTTCGACTCTCTAAACTTTTCTCACTGAATCATACTTCTTGAATAGTATCTTCTAATCCTAACCTCTCCGATTATTTCTAATTCCCTTACTACCTCTTCTACTATTGGATTTGAATTGACGATTACTTCTCTGTGCTGATGTGGTATGGCAACATGAACTGATGTACTTATGTACAAAGTTCTACGTTGCATCTGACTGACTGACTGACTAGCTTTTATATGGGGTGGCTCAAAAGCTAGGTAAGGCACACTAGAAATGAAACGTAATATAACATGCGGAGACAAATGTTAAGTAGTTACACAACCAAACTAAATCCTCGAGGTTATGAGTAATCTATAACATTCTTAAGCTGATATTAGAATTTCTGAATGAACAGGATCTTCTTCTGAATGAGCGCTAAAATAACACCGGTCGTCGATTACAAACATAAATTACATATTAATCCTGGCAAAATCATACATCAGTTTACAGTAGTGAGCTACCATAACTTTTATTCAGAGGTGAAGTTTGGGTCGCTGACTTAACAGTCAAAGTAATTAGACAAATAAACTAATACATGTTGCCAATAATGGTTTAAGCCACTGGTGCCAACGGACAAACATTGATAATAATCAGTAACTTACACGAAAGATAAAAGAGTGATTCAACTTTTTGGCGAGATCCAAAGAACGAGTGTCTTGCCACGTGATGACACGAGTTCGAGGATTTGATGTCTTCCTGCTAAATTATTCATACTAGGATATAATCTTACTTATCCCATAACAAAAGGCTATTTCGTTGAACTGAAATACCGATACATTTGATCCGGTCAGGATGAATTTTGGCATCTAGATGATTATCCACAAAAGCAGTGATGATACCTTGTAAAACTTCGTTCAACAGTTTGCAAAAGGATTGCCATACAGCTTCTGGATCCAATTCGCACGCACCATCAGACCCTTCAAGCCGAGATACCTGAAAGAGAAGATTGTTTGCAATGTACAATGTACAACTATTTTTTCACACTGGTCTAAATCGTACTTCAACAGACAAAATCAAGTATACTGTGCAAAGAATAAAGGTACAGCTCTTAATATGAGCTGCTTAAAAACTAAGCTACCCAGAATGAACTGCTAACGTCTCTGTGCTGACGTGGTATGGCAACCTGAACTGATGTACTTACGTACGAAGTTCTGCATAGTATCTATCTGCTAACAGTGAGTTCCGAACTAATCCCTTGTTCCCTGAAAATCAAGAAGTATTTGCCAATAAAGTGCCTAAACAAGCATTATGGGTACCTGAATTATTATCTAAAACCGTATATACAATCATGAGCTTGATAATATGAACAAAGTGATATTGTATTTGATGCATTTGTTGATAAATAATTAGTTAGAGCATCTTGACTTAAACTATCGATCACGGATAAAAAGTTCATTCTACCTCGAATCCGATGAACGTTTAGTACACTAGGGGCCTATAGATATGTACTTACAAGTCGGTTTAATGCCACGCACTCTTCAATAAGCTTTAAATAACCTTTTACCCCATGAGTCGAATGAACTATTTACCCGTGAAATTGCTGAAGGATAAAAAACTAATTTGAGACACGACCTGGCCTTATTTCGACGAACTTCCAAAGAAATAAAACCCATTCATTTCATCATATCGAGGAGTACAATGCTATGTGGAACATATTTTTTGGAAAACTTCTACGGTGTAGACAGTCGGGAAGTGACATCCGCCCTGATACCCGTAACAGCACACGAGATCAAATGGGTAACAATCAAATCTTTCTTACACCTCCTAACATCGCTCTTATCTCCACGACTAACCCTTTTTACACATCATTGGATGCTTCTATTTTTTCAAAACCCGGTGATAGTGGTGTTTGCGTACTTACTAAGCGTATGTGATACCAACATTTACTGTGACGTGTTCTTGTTACCAACCTGCAGTATTGTGAACTACTAGCCACACTCAATGAGTCATTTCCAAAGTGCTGGTACCAGACTTGATGAAAAACAAAGGATAAGGGACCAATCGAATGTGAAAGTAAAGTTAAAGTGAGAGTTCGATAGTGTGAAAATTACTAAATCACAGAAAACACCCACCGGAATCAGCTCCACAAACCGTAGAGTTTGTAAAATAAAGACGAAAAAAGTTTTAACACCCGGCTTATGTGCACAACATACTCACTCACTTTAGTGCTGCTACATCCGATGATCTTAAGATCCATAGTATAGACCCTGGCGCATGCATGAGTGCTTCCGAAATCAACACCCAGTATGAATTCCGAAACCGTTTGCTGTAAACCGATTCCAAGGTAATAATTCAGAAAGCAAAAAATATAAACGTCAGCTTTATATTTGTAAAATGATTTTTAAGGCATACATTCAATTAAATTACATAGCCTAATGATTAGGTCCGGGACTAGAAACGGCTACTGCTTTTGTGAGCTCTCTGACTTTGGCATCTTGAATCTCAACTACGGTCATAAGCTCATTAACCTGACTAGTTAGTTGGTCCAGAGTTTGCTGAATGCAGTCTTCCTTATTATGTTCTTTCCTTATTTGCCGGCGATATTCAAGCAGAAGGCAAGTGGCTCCAACCACAAAAATGATAAGTTCACCCAGCACTTCTGCTCCAAGGTCAACAGCAGCATCTTCACTCAACTTGTTAATCTCCTTTGGTTTTTCCAGCCCCAATAATTTCAATTTTAAACGAGTTTCCCACAAATGGTATACTAATAATAATAAACTGCTATTTTAGCGAACTTACACTGCGCTGGGGGCAGGCACACATAGTTCCTAAAAAACGTATTTGTTTTGGCCTTGCGCTTTAGGTAGTTGGCCAGGGGCTTTCCAATTTGCTTTATAGCCAATGATCCTAATTTAAATACTGGGAAAGCCCCAACCATATGACTGTAGTTGCAAAGTGCGCTTTTAGTGACCGCATATGAAAGCAGTGAATGTACAATCCTTCAAACTGTAATCTCATTTGAGTAATCTGTAGAGGTAAAAAAAAATCTCAAAATAAAAAGTTCTGTAAATCTTCTGTATTGAGTTTTACCTTATTCGTTTTAATGGACACTCCCTAGCTGAAGGTGCTTAGTCACACATCAGCACATGATCATCATCGGGTACTCCATACAGCACATCTCCTTGCATCAGATAACGGGCTAATTTCACTCACTCCGCTAAATCCTAACGACCATTCAAAAATAACTTCGATCCCCCTCATTCCTGTTTGATTTGGCTTTGGGAACCCTTGGTGGCAATCTTTGGAATTCTTCTGGAGACCGTCGCTTGACACTCGATTGAGATGTAGTTTTTTCTATAGGGAACTCCCAGATATGTATTAGGCTATAAGACATATTCAGTATTCTACAGAAAGCCGAGAGTTCATTCCTTTCATTGACCATAAGCCTTCAAATTTTTCTCTTAGCTCATATTCGGACAACTCTCCCCTCAGAGTCGCAACAATGGACTACATTTCGCTGTTTACCCCAGATATACAAATAACGGCAAACAGTGTAGTTACGGACGCCTTGCGCAGGTTTTATCATCCAAGTGTCCGAGCAACTACCAAGCTGTTGGCAGAACGACCATTTTGACGTGGTATGAGCAAAGCAGGGAAGGAGTGAGCACGATTTCGTGTAAGCTGCTAGAAATCTAAGGTAAACAGGCATGAAAAATGCCCCTTAGGTAATTTCTCAATTACTGACGCCAGCTTCAGTCGCACTCACCTCCACTAGATAGCACCGTTATCGGATTAAAATGGATACTCATGCGTCACGACACGTGTAGATGGCCAGATGTAGTGTCTATGAAGGGTGCTACTGCTGCAACAGTGTACCGCGCATTTTCAAATGATAATCAGCTAAATTTCTTTGCCCTTTAGATATTGCTTCAGCTGCACCAGATTTCCACATACATGAAGGGAAATGCAATATCCCCCGACACGATACAACATGCGTCAACCAAATCGCTCCTGATGGAGATTTCTTGGAAGACGTAAAATCCCTTACATGTTTCGGCAGCACCACTGACAATCAAGGTGGTTCTTGCGCAGATGTAGAGGCACGGATTGGCAACGCAAGGGCTGCAGTTCAACAACTGAACATCTGCAACTCAAAATAACTATCAACAAACACCAAAGTCACAATTTTCAATACAAATCTCAAGACGGTTCTACTGCATGGGGCGGGAACTTGGAGGACTGCGAGAAGCCATCATTCACAAAACACAAGAGTTTGTTAAAATTTTTTTATGCAAGATACAGACACCATCAGCAATAACCTACTGTAGAAGAGAACAAACCAGATTCCAGTGAAAGAGGGAATCAGGAAGAAGTGTTGGAAGTGGATAATCATAATGATAATTTATTCTCAAATAACAACATATTACATGAGGCATACCAATTTACAGTCTAGATCAAAATGTTAAGACTGCTAACGTATTTTATGTGAAACGTTGGCTAAAATTTTCCACGGTTGCGTTATGACGAACTGTTGACAAGGAAACAGTGCACGGTGGAGCCAGGTCTGCATATAACAAGAATTGATGAGGTAAACGTGCTAAGATCTGGTTGATATTCTTCATATAATAAATTTACGGGCTCCTGGGTAAAATAACAAAGTCTTCGGCAAACATCCATACTAATATTTAAGGATTGGAACAAGGTGCTGATAAAAGAGCAATAAAAAGAAAGGTGTGGGGAGCAGAACAGAAAATATTCTTGTTTAATACAACAGTGGGAAAACGTAATTGGTCTCTTCTTCTCATTGTTCTATCGAAATTTATAAAAGTGACTAATTGTTTTAAAATTCTTGTTTAAAGCAGATACTCAGACCCAGCTGATACTTTTTTAGATTAGAACACTAAATATACACCTGCACTTATGTAGATTAATGAAGATAATTCATTAGTGAGATAACGAATGGGCAACTAATCGTATAAACAGAGGTAATTCAGAAGAACCAAACTGTTAGCAACAATGTTGATGCACAGAATATAACAATGAAGCACATTGATTTGATGCTTTTGTGATATTTTATCGATTCTTTTTATTCTTAACTCTGTAGCTCGAGAAGTCAAGAATGAGCGCCTTTTCAGTATATTTGTCCGGATCTGCTTGAAATAGAATTTCTTCGTAGGGAGTCAAAACCAGTGCAAGGTTACAAACATGAGTCGTAGACGAGGTTAACAAGGAAAAGTAGCATCAATATCACTGATGAGTTACATCCTGCTGTATCTTAAGGAGCCGTAAGCAAACAAAATGTTCTGCCATACAGACATGGGTAGATTGAGGTTATCGCTCCACCGTTATGATTGCTGGTCAGATACACCACCCTTCCTCCTTTTGTGATGTTAGGCTCTCTTGAGTTTGGTGGTAGATTTTAAACCATGTTTTTTTCACTCCATGCTCTATATTTTACACACTGTCGGAATACACTCTCTCAACTAGCTGCACGTTACAAGCAAACCAGACAACTTTGGCTTCTGTATATTGAACTAAATATCCACGTAGCATATCACACTGATCTCAAGCAAACTAATGGTATAAATTATAAGATCTGGGTAAGTTAATAGACAGTCTGGAAATAGGAAGGATATGAGGCTGGAGAGAAAAAATGAGTTGAAATAATGTCAAAAATTGATGAGTAAAGCGATATGTTGGTAAGCAGGCAAGGTGTTTGCATGTCAATGAATTGGGGAAATAAAATTTTATTAAACAGTTAATATTTAAAGAAGAGGGAACTCACAATGATACAGGGAGTTTGAGTCCCTTGTGATCGACAGTAGTTGGTTAGCATCTACAGGCTTTTCAGTTTGTCTGTCTACTAGAAAAAAAATTGAAGCTGCTGTGAACATAAGAAAATAATAATTGGAATTTAAATTTTGAAAAAATTCCAAATGTTACAGGTAGCACCTCAAAGGCGTAACCTACTGTGGTGCGATCTACTTATAAGTAGTATGTGACGTGAGTGTCAACGTAATGTCTGGCAACAGAAGATGGGGGGAGGACCAAGAAAGGAAGAGTTAGAACACAATGGAATTTGTATGAAATGCATGAATGGTGACAATGGATTGATGTTTTGCAACAGGAACAGTCCAGTTTGATATGATGGACTGATATTTTGTAAATTAACGATTTACGATATGGTTTTCCAATTTTACTGAGTGACTCTGTAATTTTCGTCAGATACAATTCGGTTGCCCCACCTGTGTTCTCGTTCACTACACTATTACTGTTAGAAGGAGCAAGGAGATTCGCCTAGCATTTCATGATACCTGTATGGATGGTAATGCAGGTACAATATTTCAATAGTCTGTAATTAGTTTCTACAGTTTATCTAAATATTTGGTGAACCATAAAAGACTGCCTCGGGACTTGGTGTGAGTTCCGAGAATAGTGAATAAATCTCTTTAGTGGCTAAAAACATCATTACTGGTTTCTTGAACTTCGTGATTGTGTCACAGATACAGATTGATTGTATCATGTTACAAAGAAGTGAAAACGCAGTGACTTTTTGTGTTTTGCCGTTAAAAGTGTGTATGCGTTGTTTCTAAGTCTTTAAGCAGTGTCGGAGTTCATAACTGGGCGTTATTTAACGGGGGCCGTTTATCAGTTTATAGAGAATTATTGACTGTTTTTCAACCGACGGCGCCGTTGAGGTTCTAGGGGAAGATGTTTGGATATTTCTGTGCTGCTGAGGTTATGGCTCAGTACCAGTAGTCGCCGGGTGAAGCTCATTTGGACATTTTCTACTCTTATATTGTCCATGATATCTATGTTTGAAAAGATAGGTGAGCAATAATAAAGTGAGGGCCTTATACAGACTTTGAAGAGTGTAAGCTTAGCCTTAGGACACACTACGGAAAGCATTCGTCTGCGTAACACAACAGGGTTATCGCTTGGAGCCCTCATCGTCAATGAATGGGAGGAAGGACTTCGAGAAATATAGCAAGATATGAGAAGAATGAAAAGACGTTGGACAGAATTGGAAAGAGATACCGAGGATAGCGTAGGTTGGAGTATACTAGTTGGCGGAGAATGCTCTATTGGAGGTAACACGCGTAAGTAAGTGAGTATTACTGTAAAATTAATTTTGGCCCGATATGGAATTATTTCAAATGAACCACATGGCTCCTCAGAGTACGAAAAGACAGCCAGACCCTGCTAGACCAGGTAAGCTATCAGAAGAGTGCTTGCCAACGTCAAGCACATCGGGTTTAAACTTATAGCTGATCATGTCTGAGGGTTATCAATAATTCACCAGCCGGGAGTGGACTGCAGCGATGAATTTGTGCCCAAAATAAAACAACACGTGAGTCTTCAATATTCATGCAGACAGCATTATTTTTACTGGACACACCATAACTGGAGGTGCTCGGCCATATATTCACATCAGACCATGATTGGGTACTCCGTGCTATTCATGCCTGTCAACAGCAACCTGGTTCAGATCACCCAGTTCTCAACATACAGACAACCTACAACATAAAATTGCTATCTGCGTTCCGAACTTCTGAATTGACCTAGTTTTGTGTATTCTCGATCTAAGTGATGTTACGACTATCATTTGTGTATTTTGTGGATTCTTTGATACTGAGTGGCATATTTCCCTAAGTTGGTCATTTATTGACCTTTTGGTGAGCTGGTGTTTTTACTTTTGTTCATTTATATTATTGCAACACTATAGTGTACATAAGTTGTCTTCAAAACAAACAACTATTACGACTAGTTTTATTAACCTAATGCACTCGACTGGAGGCACAGACATAGGAGACGCCTTCTTC